TTACAGTTTTAAATCTGTGCTGATTCATAAACTCAAATAAGGAAAACTTTTAAGTGGAAACCATTTTCCCAAAGAATTTATTTTTAAATTTGGAGGTACCATTTAGGATCGCTTTATTGGCACTAGTTTTCAAATTTTGTCGCGTTGCTTCTCTTCCATTTCCCCTCTATTGCACAGTGATAAGCATTATTTTCTCATTTGTCAGGAAGGAAATTCCCATCACACTATCTAGCAGCCCTTGAGGCTGTGAATGTCTTACAATTTTAGAAGGTTCAGATCAGAGATCATACAGTTTCTGACTCTTAAAAGTACAACCTAGATATGTAACACATTGAAAGACTGACTAATCCAGTCTTGATCACTTAAGGATTTGAAGAGTCGAGTCCTACACTTTCAACCAAGTGGCAGACATTGCTTCAGTATTTAGCTCTTCATAAGTCTAGAAGGTCTTTGAGATTCTGGCCATAAAAATGAACTTAAGAGCAATAAATATGTTGGTGTAGCTTAGAGTTCCAGGAGCACAGTTTAGGTGCTGAACTATCTTTTAAATTTTTCCCTTTGTGAAATATTTGTGTCTTGGGATGTCTAGTCAAAGGAACAATGGTGTTATAAAAGAGATGGGTTAGATTCACCTCACCACCTGATCATTTCATTTTGGATGAAAATTTAGCAGCTGATATTGCAAACCTTGAGAAAGTGTTGACTGCCTATTCAAGTGTAGTTTAGAGGGTTTTAGATTCCAATAGTAAGTAATAAGTGTAGAACCCTGTTTTAGCAATTGTGTGTGGTTATAAAAAGATTCCAGTTGAGGGCCCATGAGATTTGACAACATATTCTGTTTGATATTTTAGTGGTTTGAGAAAGGATTTTTAGAATATGTATCTGGAAAGTAAGGAAACGATGTAATGCAGTTTTCAATCTACTGTGTAACCTTTCCATTACAAGACTTTCCCTCTTAATCCTGTCCAGTGGATTTCTGGTCCTCTGAGGAGTGTGCCTCAGTACACCTCTCCATGGATGCTTAGGAAGGGCTTTAGGTGGCTCCTTTGTGGCCTCCAGCTTTCATTCTGCGTAATGCATTAGAGTTCCTCCTGGGTCTGCATCTTACTTCCTGGAGTGGTTTCTCTGGGAAGCAATTGACTCAATGTTTTTCTTCTTAGTCTTCCCCTTGCTCTTTATGGCAGGGTCTGATTGATATAGATATAAACATCAGAGCTAGCATCTGCTTTACAGTTTCAGGAAGGGATAATTGATGAAGACTTGTCCATTAGATGGGAGTTGGGAGAGCCCCTGTTTTCGTAGCAGTGTGGTCATCTCCTCTGGAATGAATACCCATCCTTCCTCTCACAGAATCTCCTCTTGCTTGAGTTTATTTGCATTCATGTGATTTGCATGACAAATTTTGGTCTAATGGCTTATACTCAAACCACCTCTGCAGTTGTCTGTCAGTTGTTTGTAGATGTGAAGAGGCAAAAATGACTGGTCTGTGGGTCCTGTGCTAACTGGAAGGTCATTATTTGATGAGTGAAAGTTAGGAGGACAGCTTACACCTAGAACTCACAGAAACTAGATCCTGCATTGACTTGGAGGAGGTGAGGTGAGACAGGGCACAAATGAAGCACTGGCATGGGGACCAAGAATAAATGGGGAGCTGGTGGTAAGTGGGTTTGAGGTCTGGATTGTGGACCATCCTATGGGTGCTTTTGGCAGGGACAGGTGCATCATGCTGGGTGGGGATGATCCTTTAAATGGGTCAGACCAACCCAGGCATGAGAACTAATGCCTGAATTCTTTGTGAATTCAATTCTGGACCAGAACAAGGACATAAATGGGACCTGCTGGATATGTCTCCTTAATAGACATTTGTAAGAAAAGTCACCCATTTGCTTCCAAGTTCTCTCATTATAAGCCATAGTTGCTATTGGGAAGCTGATGCCATTTCTCAGCCCTCTCTTTGTTTCTGCCCTCCCCTTTGTTGCAGTGGATCTGCTGAAGAATCTTGAAATGCCAGCAGAAGGTTGAAAGGGAAGACCTTGGAGTTTTCACATTTTCAAAAAATAGGTGGCACTGAGAGGTCTTATTTTATAGATAAATCAGCTATATTGGTTTCAGAGTAATTCATTTTTCATAGTTTTTTCTTTTAAAAGTCCCTCTTCTAGAAGGGACACACCCTCCTTACAGTAGAATTCTAGTTAATAAATGGAGAAGGAAGAATGGGAAATGGAAAAACACCATTTGGTAAACACCACAGCAATAATTGTTGCAAGCAAGAATCATCAATGGATGCTGAAAATAGGCGAAAAGTATGGTGTAACAGGATATTTACTTAGTCCCAAAGTATCGCCCCACAAGAAATTTATAAACTAGAAGGAGAAAATAGTGGTTTTAAGGTGGAAAACCTAGCAAACACCAACTTAAACAAGTGATCAAAGTTAGTATCATCAGCACTAATACATATCAATATTGTGTACCTCTTGATGCGATACAGGTGAAATAACATCACTTCTATGGTATTCTTTCCCAAAATGCACACCACAAACTAACAGTGAGGTGACATCAGATAAACCCAAATAGAAAGTCAGTCTGCAAAATGGCTAGCTAGTACTCTTCAAATGTCAAGATCACAAAAGACTCTAAAGAAAGACTAAGGAAATGTCCCGGATTGGAGACTTAGTAGAAATGGCATCTAAATTCAGTGTGAGTTCCTGAATTGAATTCTAGACCAGCAGAAGGACATAAATGGAACAATTGGTTAAATGGAGTCGTCTGTTAACTAGTTAAGACTATAGTATCATTGTTAATTTCCTCTCATTGTTATGTAGTTACGTGAAACATTAATATCTGGAAAAGCTGAGTAAAGGGTATATGGAAACTCTTTGAACAAATTTTTCACCTTTCAATATTTTTTGTAAATTTGAAATTATTTTTAAAAAGCAAATGTCTTTTTAGGAGATATTATGCTTTATTGAATAATGGATTCATTAACTCCCTCATGCCCTTTGTATAGCTAGTTACCCTTCTAAGAAAATGAAAGCCTGTGATAGATTTCCTTTTGCTGTTATCATTTTACTTCAATATTTAGACTAAATGTTTTTAGCTTCTCTAGGTGACTATCTCCTCCCATTACTACCAATGAGAAAATATATGCACAACTCTACTATGGAATACTGGGGGTGCTCTTAGTTGAGTCCATAGTGGTGCTCTTACTAGAGTCCCAGTGAAAGTAAAGGCGTATTCACTGTAAAGTTATTGTAGCTTCAGTTTTAGTACCCTTCCCCCCATGAGCCTCTTCCAAGTCTCTCCACTATATACATATACACACACACACCCACACACACACACACATATATATATACACACCCATATACATATATATACACACACATATATATACCTTGCTCTGTTGCCCTTGCACTGCTGGAAGGCAGTGGTGTGGTCATAGCTCACTGCATCTTCAGATTCCTAGGCTTAAGTGATCCTCCCTCCTTAGCCTCCTGAGTAGCTGGGACTACAGACATGTGCCAACATGTCTGGCTATTTTTTTTTTTTAATTTTGTTTTTAGTAGAGTCAATTTCTCTGTGTTGCCCAGGCTGATCTCCAACTCCTGGACTCTAGTTATACTCCAACCTCAGCCTCCCAAGATGCTGAGATTACAGATATGAGCCACTGTGCCTGGCTTTCCACTTAAGTTTGAATTCATAATGTTATATACTTAAAGAGAATCCTCCACATGGAATCAGCTTCAGGCATCCCCCCACCTGGATCTGTTCCTGCTTAATGGGAATACTTTGCCTGAGGCAGTTCCATACAAGATAACACAGCCCGTTTACATCCTGGCTCATTTTCAAAACAGCACAGAAGAAAACAACATCATCTTGAAGCTGGAATAGAATATTTCAAAAGTTTTCCTTTGTTTAATTTGGCTCACTACCTGGCTAGGCAGAAATGCAATCCAATGAAATAAAAGTAAATGGAAATGGAAAGCATTCTTGTATGCAGACTGAAATCGAGCACATTTAGTCAGAAGATCAGATTTGCCTCATCCACAAGATCACTGTCCAGAGGAATACCCTTTGGTTACATGGACGTGTCATTGCTTAGACTTTGCCTTGAAGCTGCAGCTATAAACAGCATCTAATACTTGCAACCAGTGCTCCCAGCTCCTGCCACCACTTCATCCCGCTTCACTGTATCTCTCAGATAAGCTCACAGCCCAAGGTTCTTCAACCTTGTACAAGACCTCACAAGAAGAGGCAAATTTTGCATATGTAGAAGTCTGTGTTAAATAAAATACAGGATCAAGCCAAGGAGCCTGAAATTTGGAGTTGGTGCTGATGGCCCCTCATTCCTGTCACTTATTAACTTTATTTCCCTCCTCAGCTTTTGTCATTGCCTAAAAATTCTTTAAACACAGGTTTTCATATGCTGTGATTTAACTCTTTAAAACCTTTAGTACCACATGGGAATTAGTAATCTCTTTCTTTATGAACATTTTTATTGAGCTTATTCTTATGGAAATTTGATCTTCAGTAATTTTATCAGAGGGATTTTTTTTTTCTTTTAACCAGATGTAAACCTATCTCTAGTAGCCCTGAACTTAACAGCAACATTTTTTCCTGGTCACACACTTCTGAAATTGGAGGATTAGTAGTACAATATAAGAAACACTTTGAAGTTGCCTTCCACGTTTTCACAGGAGTATGTGTGTGTGTGTGTGTGCACGCGCGCGCATGTGCCATATGAATGCATGTGCTTTTTTGGAAAGTTTTATTGCCATCTCTTTCTTTCACAGGTTGGTTGAGTATCTGTGTTTTCAGAGTAAGCAGAGAATAGAATGTAGAAGTAGTTTGAAATTACAAATTAAACTAGTTGCACTAGGAATAAAATATTAGCGAATGAAGAGTTTGTTGGGAAAGCCTCACATGAGAATGGTTTCATTTTTTAGTTAATGAACTGCTGAAATATACCAATATTGCTTTGGATGTTGTTTTATCTCTAGGCTATGAAGAAAACCAATTGTTTGATTGTGAAATGAAATCAAAACCCGAGAAAAAACACTATTTTTAAGGAAGACTTACTATGAAAGTTATTGTGAGAACTAAGTCCTGTTTATATGAAAGTTATTGTGAGAACTAAGTCCTGTTTACCACAGAAGGTTAGTTAAAATGTATATGAGTCAATCATTTGCCAATACACTAGAATTGTGTTATGAAGAACCTAACAATCATTAGAGCCCCTTGTGAGTTAAGCCCAGAAAACCTCAGGTGTAGAACAGCCCTCTGGACACCAAATACCTGAGGATATAGAAGAGATTATTTCATTGACTTCAAAACTTTATTAGACCTAAGGTTCCTAAATACGTTCAGCCAAGTCATGCCCTCTGTATCCTTTCTTAATGTCTGAAATGTGTGTGGCTCCCCCGCCCCACCCTCCCAATTTGGCTGTCAGTCTACAAAGGAAATAAAAAAAATAGCAGACCCAGTTTCCAGGCTGTTTTGTTTTACGGAGATGCTAAAAGGCAGCTTATTTCATATTGATCATACCAGGGAACTAGCCAAGTATGGTGTTAATTGGGTCCTCTGGAATTCTACACCCCGGGGACCAAAAGCTTTCTAGCAAGGAGGGGAATAAACCCACAGGCTGCATAAAAATGAAATCCAGGAGCCCACCATGTCCCGATTGCTGATTACTGGTGATTTGGCCAGCTCGTTTTGTATCCAGTTGCTTATTTCAATTAGCTTGTTTTGTGTTATGTTTCCCCACACCCCCCTTTCCTGCAAAGCTGTGAAGCCTTGTTTTGAAAACTGCTGCCCCAGAGTGCACCGGCTTGGCGGTCCTGTCCTCATTGTTCTAATGCTCATTCCATATGTGGGTCACATCCTAGTGCTCTCCCCCCAGCCCTCCCCCTCACTTCTCCAGCCATCTCTCCTTCCCTTCCCTGTCCATACATTGGTGCTTGCACTCTCGCGCTCTTTTACACTCACTCATGCACACACACACACACACACACACACACACACACTTTTCTCCTAAGAGGCACAGGTAGGGCAGATTCTTTCAGGAGCTTGCAAGCAGGATCATTCAAACTTAAAACGCTGGTTGCTGTGCATTTAGTTTATGGCAAACACTTCACCTTCAGGAAAGTAATTATTCTACTCCTCTCCCTGTTTCTTTCCCACCCTTTGCCCTTTTCTCCTCTCTTCTTCAGGACAAAGGTTTTTAAGAAACTGAGATTGCCACTTCGTGAGGCCCTTCTTGTTACCCTGGTAGCTGGTATCTCAGACAGTGAATGAAGGATGGATCAGACAGGCTGGAGTTTTGATGCACAGTTCTTTGGGTACTGCAGGAGGAGCCCACTGAGAAATGTGCATGGCGGGCATGCCTGCTGAGTTTATTATGCTGGTTATCTGTCACTTATTCTGACTAAAAGGTAAGGGCTTCTGTAATTTGTTGCTTCAAAGAATTGGTACATTGTTCTCTTTCTAAGGCTTCCAACTAATTGGCTCTTGAGGGAAGATTGGAATGAGAGTTAGTGCTCAACTTCTGTAGCTTATCCTGTTAGATCTCTGTTTTTTTTTTTTTTTTAATTTGTGAAGGAAAAATAATCTTGACAATTTTATGACTATTGGTGGACTGTCTATTCACTTGTTTTCAAAGAAAAACAATAAAAACCACCCTTTGATTCATGATATTTATTTTAATTTAAAACTTTTCATGGACCAGTAAAGAAATGTAGTGTATGTGTAGTCAACATTTTCAATGATTTCTGTAAACTTTGGGAATAGGAGTTGTGATCTTATCCCAAGATAAGAATATTTTACTTTAACAGATTGCATTTTTACCTATTGAAAATTACAGTGCATTTTAGTAATCAGAGTGAGGAAAGTTAGAGACTATTTAAATGAAGTACAATAGTAACATTTACATTAATTGGTCAGTTACTGTAGTGTGGGTATACACATGTCGATAAATATACAGTACTAATTATACTTCTTGTTTTCTGTATGCTTAGAGGAAAATTTTGTGTCTGTGCAGAATTGAAATATGAACTGAACCACAGGCAAAAGAATCTTAGCAGTAAGTACTTAGAAAACTATATAGATATTTTTATTTGTATAAGTTTAAGAGACACAAGTGTAGTTTTGTAACATGGATATAATGTGTATTGATGAACTGTGGGCTTTTAGTGTATTCATTACCTGAAAAGTATGTGTGTGTGTATATGTGTGTGTGTGTATATGTATGTATATGTATATACATGTATATACACATACAAGTTACTGTAGTTGACAGGTAACACATAACCTGAAAATAACCTTTTTAAAGTTTTCACAACAATATTTATCTGACATGCTAAGCACTTTTTCTGTATCATGATGAGTAGTTTCATGGATAAATTTAGGTAATAGTTACTGGAAATAATCTGGTGCCACCAAGCAACTGTCTTGCAAGAGCCAGATATTTTTTGAGTGTAGGGCACAACCAGATTTTTTTCTATTCTTTTTATTTTTTTTTAATTTTTATTTAAAAATTTTTTTGAGATGGAATCTCTGTCACATATGTGTATGTGTGTGTATGTACACACACACACACGCACACACACATAAATATATACGTATCTTAAGGTTATGGTTTTAATCTGTCCTATTTAAAGTAATTACAACTAGACTTTCAGCTGCTTGTTATCGCTGGGAAAAATGTACCTTTGGTTAAGAAACATTTCAAAAACAGATTGCCCATCACGATGGAATTTATGCAGTTGGAAACCAACTGAGCTTTATTGAAAAAAATGATTACGTCTTATTTTCTTAAGCACTAGTGATTTACAAGGACCCTTTGGTAGTAGCATAGGATGTATTTTATTGGGGATGGAGATCCCTTTAATGATATTTTCTTTATGGCTGTTGTGCAAGGTTTGTGATGTGTGTTGAAATCTATCTCTATTTATCACTCTGTCTCATGAGCCATAAAGGAAGGAAAGGTATATGTTGGGATACCCAATTTAAGTCACCTTATTTTATTTATTATGTTATAGAATTTGCTCCAAAGAGCATATGGGAAATGTTTTCTTCAAAAGGACATATTGAAGCATCCACTTAAACAACCTAGGGATATCAGCAAAACAAATTGGGTTTCTTTCGTGGTAGACTTTGAGAAGAGACAAGAAGCAATCCAGGTGAAAGGAGGGTGACAGGAGGACGCTATCAGTAAAAGAGAAGACTGTTATTTTCTTGACCTTGGCTCAAAGGTTTCTGTCAAGACTGCTGGAGATTGAATAGGTAGAGTAGGGCCCAGATTTAAAGTTGGTGTCTCTCCCACACCTAACCCTCATCCCAGTCCCTCACTGTCCAGTATCTTTGTCATTCAGTCCCCCTGGTTTAATGTGTCAGCAGGAGGGCTTTACCTTCTTTTCAAAATCAAAAGGAGATGGCACAGCATGGCTCATACCCATGAAAACCTTAAACGTTTCCCCTTCTACGTTTTATCCCAATCATCTACATTGAGTAAAAATAGCAAGAAAAAAAAAGCAAACAAACAGATACTTCGCCTTTATAATCGATTTTGCTTCTCTTCTAAGTTTTTGAACTTTGTTACCTTTCTAAAATGTTAACTGTATATATCCTGTACATAAAGCATAACAGTCTTAGGATACCTTTTGAGGTACAAAATCAGTGACTCTCAACCTGGGCATATTCAAAGGATTCCCTTAGTGGAGTGTTTGAATAATGCAGGCTCCAGCTACTGCCTACAGGAATTCGTGATTCTGGAGTCTACATTAGTGCTTGGTACATGGGAGTTGTTTAGTAATATTCACAGAATGTTACACAGTGAAAAGTTTTCACAGTAGTCTGACAGGACACAGTGGATAAGTGCATTGCAAAATCTTTTCTGCTTCCTCTTTAGTTGAATTTGGAGAAAGGAAATTCCCTCCCTCTATGCTTCCTACGTGTATATTAAGGAAGATGCGGCTTCTTTTGCAGAGGTTTCCAAGCCTCTGAAAGTAGATGAATCACCCTTGAAAGGCTAATAGAGCCCACTAATCATTTTGCACCACACAAAACAAATAGTGACTTCTGTATCAGTAATACTAGTAACAGCCATCCTAGAAATTACTGTGAACATTAGTCCTGGGGCTCTCATGAACCTCAAAGTGATAAATGGAGAGAACACAGAAAATTGAAAACATTCTCTTTTTGTGTGTATATTTTAGGTGTATCTTGTCACTTGAGCCAGTAGGAGTGTGCTTCTTGGATAATAATATGGGTTTCCCAAACAACTTTTTTTTTTTTTTTTTTTTTTTTTGAGACGGAGTCTCGCTCTGTCGCTCAGGCTGGAGTGCAGTGGCCGGATCTCAGCTCACTGCAAGCTCCACCTCCCGGGTTTATGCCATTCTCCTGCCTCAGCCTCCCGAGTAGCTGGGACTACAGGCGCCTGCCACCTCGCCTGGCTAGTTTTTTGTATTTTTTAGTAGAGACGGGGTTTCACCATGTTAGCCAGGATGGTCTCCATCTCCTGACCTCGTGATCCACCTGTCTCGGCCTCCCAAAGTGCTGGGATTACAGGCTTGAGCCACCATGCCCGGCCTCAAACAACTCTTAAAGCATCTAGATCCATACATATCAGATACAAAACCATATCCATGGACCTGGAACTGGGCTGTGACCTAAGTGCTTGTTTTTCCCATCAAAACATCTCTTCTTTGGAACCTTCGCTAGTTTAGACTGCGTCTTGAAAATTTGTTAGTGTCCCTGAAGCTATAGGGGCAAATTCTGGTGAAAACAAAACAAAACAAAACTCAAACAACATGCTAATATCTTAATATTATCTGTAATATGAGGACGAGCTGAATTATCTGACTGTTCTTTAAGTACCTTCCAAGG